AAGTCTCTTTTTTTTCTCCCGGAACTGATTGGCAAGCGTATTTTCCTGATGACTTTCAATAGACGTTCTCCGTAGGAGGGCCGTTTGCCTTTCACTGCTCTCTTCTGCACAACTCAAAGATCAGCTGCATTGAAACTTTAATTGCTTCATTTGTTGCCATTATATTTCTATCTCTCTTAGGGCAAAAAAAAAAAAAAAAAGATAGGAAGAGATTCTTGTTTTGTCAGGGGTCGACAGGCTGTCATGCCTTACTGCAATTTGTTATGTGGTTAGCGCAGACCTTTGAGAGAAACATCTGTGAGTATTGTGGATAAACCACTGACAGGATGCGAGAGAGCTGGTAATGGAGTTCTGCTTTCACAGCGATGTAATTTACAAGAGAATCGCTCCACGGGAGACCCCCCTAAAGGACTGAGGCTAAAAAAGATGACGGCATTCAACGTATGTACAGTACGTGTCCCTCCTGTCATAAAAAGGGAATTGGAATAAACCAATTTTTTTTTTGTATGTTGCCCATTGAAGAGGTGAACACAATTTGAATCTCGCTAAAGTGCCTCCTATTGATCGGCAGGATGCAGATAAATCCATGCTTCTGTAGAAAAGCAGATTCTCATGAAATGAACTGAGGAATTCTGGGTAGGCTGTTTGCGCCGTGGCAGGTGTGGTGTCCTCGGCATTTGCTCGCTGTATATGTGGATAATAGTAAGACTCACCCTTGTTGCTATGGTGATAACATTGACTTTTGGTGATGAAAAGCCCTTTCAAGATGTGGACTTGTGTGTGTGTTCACAGGGCTTGGTAATTATGGGCTAAATTTGAGCCACTTGAGATACCGTAGTCGATCCAGAGCTTTACTTTCCAATTTATTTTGTACTTTTTCAATTTAATTTCTTCATTCTCCCTTTAGTGTGTGTGTGTGTGTGTGTGTGTGTGTGTGTGTGTGGTGGGGGTCGTATATGTGGGTCAAATAGCTCTTATAATGCGAGAAGCTGATACACAAACACTCATCTTCTCACATGTGCCGCAGGAGATGTGAAGCGTCCCCAGACTTCAGTCAGCGATCTGTCTATCTCATCAGATCACACTTTAAGGGTGACAGCTTTGGCAGAGATCTTGGAAAGCAGCGGTCCAATCTTTAAATATTGATTCAGGGCCCAAAGCTGTGTTGTCCCTCGGAGTACTGATAGAGCAGGAAAAGCAGATAATTAGTGATTTTAATTGGATGATCCGTCAAGCTCCGAGTGCAAGATGTAAATGTGTGAATCTTTCCCACAATCTCTCCCTGTCACTGAGGGCTACGAGTGTGTTGCGAGGTCTCAACCCTTGGGCTGATTTACCAATAGGGAAGCTGACAAAATGTGTCAACAAGCATCTGTGTGCTGGATTCCCATGCTATTTTTTTATTGTCGGGTTGGAACCTGTGATGCAACAAGTAATTGGGGAACAATTAATCAACAATAGCAGGTAGAGTGCTCAGCATAATTCATTTTGAAAATGAAAAATTTTATCCATTTCTCAGTGAAGGCAATGTATTTTGGTGCATTTTTCAAACAAAACAGATTTATTGAACATATTTATTTATTAAAATAATATTTAACTCACCAAACATATTTAAAATTGAAAGAAAAATTCAGTTAAATTCAAGAAAAATATCTTACAACCTACAAAATTTCAACGGAATTTTTCAATTATTTCCTTCCTTTTTTTTTTTTGTCTTTTTTAAAATTGATATTTCATATTTTTTATAACATATATATTTTGGTGTACTAGTTTTTGAATTGTTATATTGAGTTATTTTGTAAGATAAGCTCAGATTTGACTTCAGTACTGACTAATTTAATATATATACACAAATATAATATTGTATAGCTTTAAAAAACATGAATTTCAGTGCCTTCCACAGGTTTGAAATATACTTGCCGTGGTATCCGGATTGAAATACAAACGTTACCCACATAACATAAACTAATTATGCGACAAACAAAACATAATTAAATCTTTTAACAATATTTTTATTTATTAAGAGACTTTTCAATAGGTTAAAGTTAAAAAAAATAATAATTCAGGAGCATTTTGTACAGTATTTACAAAACATTTAGATGTATAAAATATGCAATGCATTACCATCATCAAATTAATGAAATATACAGCAAATGAGAACTAAATTACAGAAAAAATAGAATAAAAACAGACAATATGTCAAATAAATTATAATAATTACAAGGCTAAAACATGTAGATTATTTCAATAAGACAAATGAGTTGATTGACCATTTCTAATGGTGTACAAATATTTTGCAGCCAATTTACATCTAATTTCTCTGGCGGTTTAATAAAGTTTTTCGGAGACGTTCAGATTAAAGAATAAATTATTTAATGTCTCTTTTGCTCTCGTGGCTGTGCGCATACATTTGACGACAGCTTTAGAAAGCGTAACCAAATGCAAATCCTGTTCATTTCAGGAGATTTTAGGACCCTGGCTGAATGCATTGTTAAGTCCTAAAAAGGTGCATCTCTTTGAAGAGCATGTGAGAGACTGAGAGAAGTGTTGACAGGTCTCGCGCACACAGTAGCTACAAAATGGGTAAATGAGAGAAGATTTTCCATTACTTAATTGACCGCGGAGGTTTGGTTGGGCAGATTGAAAGAGCATTATAATAATAGTATTGTATAGTGTCACTAAATATACTTGGGCGGCCGTTAATATACCTGGGCGGCCCACCCAAGTAAAGTCTATATGTGGGAAGCACTGAATTTAAAAGATATATTTGTAAGGGATGTACTTACATATGCTGAGCACTGTGTGCACTGCTTTCAAAAATACTGAAAGTGCAGGTCAGAGTGCCATAAAACAAAACACAAAGTCTATTGATTTAGAATTGTTCCTTTAAAAGGTGAAATTTTTAATGAAAGAGGAGCTCATGATCATTCAGACATGCATTTGCAAATTCATTTAGAAATCTGCTATCTATTTTAAATTTCATTTACATGAAACCATAATAAAAAACTGTATTTTCACTATCGTGACGGCGTTATGGCTCACAACATGATTGCCGCTGGTAGGAGCCTCAGCTGGACCAGTTGGCATTTCTGTGTGAAGTCTGCATGTTCACCCTGTGTTCACGTGGGTTTCCTCCAGATGCTTTGGCTTCCCCCACAGTAAGGCATGTGCTATAGGTCAATTGTGTAAGCTAAATTGTCTGTAGTGTCCATGTGTGAATGGGAGTGTATGCAGGGTTTCTGCAGGTTTCATCACATTAAATTTAAGGCTTTTTAAGACCTCTTTAAGACCATTATGAATGAAATTTCAGACTTTCACAGGGAAAATGCTAATAATTTTTTTATTAAACCAGTGGAATTTTTTTAATTGCCCCGTTAAAATTAAAATTCAGTCATTTCTTAGCTACATATTTTAAATAATGTGTAAAAGCAAGCAAACTCTAGTTATATTCATATATATATATATATATATATATATATATATATATATATATATATATATATATATATATATATATATATTAGCATGACTTTTCCTTAAATATAATACATGCTATAATAAACAAAATGTGTGCACAACACACATTTATGCATAAAAACACAGACAACCTTTAAACAAATGTTACTGTAAGCATAATAATTAAACCATATTGCTATATAGTTAATAAATTGTATTTTTGTTATACGTTTTTCTAGATGGATTTGTTTGCTGTACCAATTGGCTATAGCTTTGCATGGACAATTAGTGAAAACCAAGGCCTGTTTAAAGTTTTTAACACCTACAACAGCACATTTCAGTAAATTTAAGACTTAAGGCCTTAAATTTAGTTTTGGACATTAAGGAAATTTTAAGACTTTAAAGACCCCACAGACACCCTGGTGTTTATGTTTCCCAGTGATGGGTTGCAGCTTGGAAGGGCATCCCCTGCATAAAAAAATAAATATAAATAAAATTAAACATATGCTGGATACGTTGGTGGTTCATTCCGCTGTGGCCACCCCAGATTAATAAAGAGACTAAGCCGAAAAGAAAATGAATAAATGAATTATTTTCCAGAATTAGCAGTGCTCCCTTAATGATGTTCTTTTTATCATGTGAGCGCTGCATGTGAAAAAAGAAAGCAATCCAAGGAAGGGATTTTGTTATGCAAATGCCATTTGTGTATATTAGCAAACATTTAAACAGAGAGAGTGCCCTTGTCGTGTTTGTCTATCCAGATGGCCAATGATGAAATATGTATGGAGTCAAAAGGACTCACACAGAATGCTGTTTTGGGCTGACTGCTAATAAAAAGAGAGCTGCCTTGATTATTACAGATGCATCTCTTTTAAATAAAATGGAAGGGAAAGAGGCAGACAGCTCCTCAACTTGAGCGAGAGAGAGGGAGAGAGAGAGAGAGCTTGGCTTTTGTTGTTATAATGATACAAAAAGCAGCTTGAAAGCCCTTCCCTCCAACAAAAAAGGACAGATCTGTAGTAATACTGGCTCAGACAAATCTTCTTTTTTTTTTTTTTTACTTCACAACAGCTTTAAAACATCATTACATATTTATAACTGCCAGCTAGATGACAGAGACAGAGCACAATGTTCAGCATTTAACAATGAGGCTTTGCCAGTGTTCCTCTGTGAAATCTCTGATTGCACTGTCTAAACCCTCCTTTCATCAAGTCTGGCAACAGAGTGAAACAATTACTCAGAAGATGTGGATCCACTTTTGATTTAACAATCCACCCTTTAATTGCTTCATTAAAAGGTCCTCGAAAGTTCTAGCATTAAAACCTGTTGAAGCCGTAGCGCCAGCTTACGTTGAAAAAAGGAGCCCTTCAGCACGCCACAGTGTTTTTTCCCCCATTTCCAGCTCTGACATGTGCCGGAAAGATGAAAGCCCCTGAACAAACTGTGCCTGAAATCCATGAAAGGAACCGCAAATAAGCAGAAGCTGTGCAAATGGCACAGTTTAGACAACAAAACTAACTCTGACTTTCTCTCTGTGTGTGCAGATCAGTCGGAGGGTTTCCACTGCCAAGATGAATGCCGTATCTTGGGCCACTCGGACCGTTGCTGGATGCCCCGGGTACCGATACCGGCGAGAGCTAAGTCTCCGGAACACGGACGCAATGTCATCGCCCTGTCCATTGAGGCCACCACAGTGGACGTACCTCACTATGAGGACTGTGGCACCACCAAAAGGACTTTTGCCACCTTTGGCAAAGACGGGCCGGATGAGGACCGGGCCGAGCAAAGGGGCAGGCGGCAAACAGCGGAGCCAGCCGTCTGCAGCCCCAAGACCAACGGCGCTGTGCGCGAGGCCGGAAACGGCAGAGAGGCCGTCAGCCCCATCACCTCCCCCGTGCACCTGAAAAGCCCCCAATCCAAAGCATCTTCCACCTACAACACACTGAAATGCCGTGACGCAGAGCGCATAGCCAATCACAGCCTGCTGCGGCAGCCGGAGGGGAAGGACAGTGAGCCGGCCATGCGGGAGATCAACACGCTCCTACAGGACGGCCGTGATAAAGAGTCCCCCGGCAGCAAGAGACTGAAGGACATCGTGCTTTAACCAGCTCCACCCGTACACAGAGCGCATACACTGCTACCAGTGTGTGTCGACATGCGTGTGTGTGTATTTGTGTGCTTTAGCGAGCGTCAAGTCCTGGGGAAAGAAGGGAGACGTGTGCAGCACGACGTATTCTCCAGAGGCTGAAAAGGTGTCTGCGAGCTCAGACTGTCATCGTGGCTTGGTAGTAACAGCAGCGCTTGTACGTTCGTCGCAATCGTCTCTCCGCAGTGGACAGGCTGGTTCCCTGCCCTCACATCGTACCCTTACGGGAGAAAGACACCCGAGTACAGTCATGCCTTGTAGACTCGAAAGAGACATCTTACTTTCTTCTAATGCCTTCTTTGGTATGCAGTTTCTGCTTCAGCTGCCAAACCGCTCACTGTTCCTGTAGAGGACGTGGGTCTCTGCGATGCTACAGATTAGCAAGACTCCTCTTGTCCGAGCGCACAGGAACGCTCCCGCAGATCTCATTTCATTTCGGTGGCTTCTCGCTGGTCTGATAAGACAACCCTTCTCTGTTTCCCTCAAGACATTCCAGTGTCAGCAAACCATGAGGTCGTTACAGTGCTTATTTTTTATCACAGATGGAGCTAAATGAAGGTGCGCTATCAACTCAAGCTCACCGAAAAACTGGAATAGGGAGAGATCGATCCCCCAGACTCACAACCAGATATAAATATATATATATACGGATGATGAAAAGAAGAAGATGATGAAAAAAAAACAAAAGAAAAACAAGACTTGTTGCTTTTGAAATCTCCTGTGCCCTTTCCTGATTGTAGCCAGTGGAGCGCAGTTTACTAGAACTTCGTGCTCTGGTCTTGTACTTTTTTGGATTTTGACTATGGGGCTAGGATAGAAGGGGTCGTCACTTACGTCTTGCTATGTGAAACTCTGTTTAGGGTTTACTACTATCATTTTTAATAATCTGTTGTTATGTGACAATCCCTTTAATGTTTTGTTGCTAAAGTAAAAACTGAAAAAAATAAACATTGGTGTTCAACTAAAGCTACAGTAGCGTTTGTACACAAACACAAAAAGGAAAAAAAAACATATATGCCAAAATATATTTTATAAATAATTTAAAATGTATAATGAGAATATTTAATGCTGTGTAGTTATTTTATCAGTAAGTTATACTTGAAATTAACTGGCTTTTTTTTTCTTTATTTGTCCCCTTTTTATTGACTCTGTTATTCCTATTTTCAATTTCTTTTATTCTTCTTCTTTTTTTTTCTTTTTTTTTACATTTTCCGATTGATCTTGACTTTTTGTTCACTGTGTTACCCCCAGCAACTGTTGATTGCAGTCTACCTTGTTGTAAAAGAGTTTCTTATTGGTCAGTTCTTGTGCCATCAAGTTTCTGTGTGGGCAAAAAAAAAAAAGACAAAAGACAAAAAAAAAAATTACAAAAAAACACAACAAAAAAAAAATCTACACCAACAGTAGTGTGTCAGTACAACGAGCTTAGAGTGAGATAGCAAAAGAAACCAAAAAAACTGCAACAAACATTAAACGTTCAAGATTTTCAAGGTTGTTGTTTAATCTTAATACTCAAGTAAGGGTAAGAGTAACACCATTTCAAGTCACCGGAGGTGGTTCCACTCATTTCTGAAGTGTCTGAGAGGCGGATAGAAGCTCCATGTAAAGCAAACCCAGATGCTCTGAGCCAGACTTGCATTGCTATCTATCTATCATCAAGTACAGCCCTCCATTTTTCCAGATCATGTAAGAACGCTATACCAAGCCCAACCAACACAAATGTGTTTTTTTTTCTGCAGGAGAAAAAAGCAGATTTGGTGGAACTGCCATGGTGGGAACGGACAGAAATTGCGAAATCAGTTGTTTCTTTGCAATACTCATTTTTATAATGTGGGAAGTGCAAACAGCAGCAACGTGTGAAAAGACATAGAACTAGTAGCTGAATGTTTTTGCTGGTCTCACCAAACAGCTTTTGGCAACATGAAAACGGAATTATCACTGAATGTATACTGCAGCTTATTATTAAACTATTAAATGTTCTCCACTTTGTCTCCTTGTCTAAATTCATCAGTTCTGCATGTTTCCATCACACTCTTTTTTTTTATTTGCCATCAAATGGCTTATAATGGAAGAGATCCGCTTCCACTGGAGAGGAAGAAAGCCAGGCGGCATTGTTGAAAAGTAATGAGCGCAACCCGAGTTCAGCATACAGCAATTATCCTTTCTTAAGTGATCTTTTGTCTTGCCATAATTCATTAAAATCTATAATGTGATATGAATATCTGCTGTTAATTTTCCTTGAAAGTAATATGCTAATGTGTGTGGCGACGGCGGCTGTAGCGATGAGAATCGTAGGGAAATTAGTTTTCGCTGCGGTCCAATCTAAAGGCCTCGGTGTGAAATCATTCTCTGATATCATTTTTAGATACCCCGATTCTGACTAATTGCAAAAATTAAAAACGACAGCAGAAAACACACCTTGTTGCTGCCAAATAAAGCAAGCGTTTGGGTGTCATCCAGCTGAGGAGTGTCAATTTCAAATGGCTGGTCGTTCTAATTTGCTGAAGTGGATGATGCACACAATAAGCCAAGTACATTATTACTTGGATTCATACCCAGTGCAATATGATGCTACTTAGCTGTCAAAACAACACCTAACAAATGATTTGAAATGACATTGGAAATAGGGGTGCACTATTACAACTTTTTAAAGAGATAGTACAATCTAAGATTACAGGTGGCTTTTTCCTTCAGTAGACCAGTAGTAGATTTTGGTCAAAATCGTCATTTTAAATACCTCTTAGAAAGCATGTCAAAGACTGCAGGCACTTTGAGAGTAAAAAAAAAACACATATAAACAAAGAACAACATACGAGGCAATTTTTTTTTCTGCTTGTTCAGATTACTTATTTAAAATAAGCTGAAACAACACAATTCTTGAGATTTTTTTTGGGGACAACTTAATTGTTTTATGTTCAATCCATTTAAATTTGTTAACTTAATCGATTTGTGTTAGGATGACTTGAATGAATATTGTGCAACCCAGCATGTTTCTAACAACACAGAACAATAATCCTGACTATATCTTTAAGACTTACAAATAGCTCTGTGCTTTTGTGAGGTAAATTAACAGCAAATACATTTTTGGGGTTATTTCCCCCTTTAAAAGGATCATAAACTGAAAAATAAATGTATCTTTATCATTTATCATGTTTATCTTTATCTATAGTAATAGGTTGGACCCCTATTGCCTTAATCCTTCTTGGCATAGCTTCAACAAGATACTGGAATGTTCCTTAGAGATTTTGGTCCATACTGACATGATAGCATCTCGCAGATGCTGCAGATTTGTCAGCTGCACATCCATGATGTGAATCTTCCCTTCCACCACATCCCATAGGTTCTCTATTGGATTGAGATCTGTTGACTGTGGAGGCCAGTTGAGTTCAGTGAACTATTACACCACCACCAGCAACCTGAACCGTTGATACAAGACAGGATGGATCCATGTTTTCATGTTGTTGACGCTAAATTCTGATCCTACCATTTAAATGTCACATAGAAATCGAGACTTCTATTGTACAATTTTGATGAGAATATGTGTGAGTTGTAGCCTTAGTTTCCTGTTCTTAGCTGACAGGAGTGACACACACTGTGGTCTGCTGCTGCTGTAGCCCATTCGCCTCAAGGTTCAATGTGTTGTGCATTCAGAGATGCTCTACTGCACACCTTTTTTTGTAACAAGTGTTTTTTTGAACTACTGTTGCCTTTCTATCAGCTCGAACCAGTCTGGCCATTCTCCTCTGACCTCTGCATCAACAAGGCATTTGTGCCCACAGGACTGCCGCTCACTGAATATTTCCTCTTTTTTGAACCATTCTCTGTAAACCCTAGGGATGGTTGTGTGTGAAAATCCCAGTAGATCAGCAGTTTCTAAAATACTCAGACCAGCCCGTCTGGAACTTACAAACATGCCACGTTCAAAGTCACTTAAATCAATTTTCTTCCCCATTCTGATGCTCGGTTTGAACAGCAGCAGATTGTCTTGACCATGTCTACATGCCTAAATGCATTAAGTTGCTGCCATGTGATTGGATGATTAGTAATTAATTTGCATTAATGAGCAGTTGGACAGTGTACCTAATAAAGTGGCCGGTGAGTGTACATATATAGAACTAACTTTTTTTTTTCTCTTTAGCGTTAAAACAGCTTATATTGTAGCCAAAATGACAGGCTCTGGAATGAGCCACTTTTTTACGTAACACTTTGTCCAAATTCCGCACTAGCAAAAGAAGGCCAATGCCTTCTCATACAGTACACTATTCACAATCTACAATCTGCCATGCCTGTTCAACCAGTTTGTTTGGAAACGGCCATAACAGAACAGAAAATATCCCATTAATTCTAAATTTTGATTTATTTTTAATGTCAAATAAATGTATCTCAATAACATAAGTGGACCTGCGAGAACGCCACAAAATCACAAGGCAGTTCATTTCCCCTTTAAGTAAGACCAAGAACTCTAACTAGCATGGAGCAAACTGCCTATAGTGCCTGTACTGCTCTATATTATGTTAGTGTTCGGAATCAGGGTGACTCATAGGACACTATGCTTTTTACCCCAGGCTTTAAAGTCAAGCATTTAATTCGAAAAGGCTTGTAGGCCTCATCATTAGTATTGCAAACAAACTCGGCGTAATGACCAACAAATGCACTCCGACTACTAAATCTGTTCCAATGGCAGCGCACACTGCTCTGAGCTACAAATGAATTATCAGACATGCCCAAACGAGCCTCGTCACCTCATGTTTAATTACTCCGGATTCCTGTTGGTCAGGGTGAATTCATCCCATTATACAGAGATTTATCTCAAAGGTTACCAGGACACACATCCTATTAACGCCCTATTAATGTTTCAATTATCGTTTTGCCAAACGTTGGAAGGGGGAATCAGAGAACAATTTAAACGATTTATTCCTGACACCGACATGCAACGAAATAAGAGCGGGAGGAGGGGAACATGGGGGGAGGGTGCTACTACCGATACAAAATAGTTTGTACCTTATTCCTTCGAGTAGGCCCCTCAATCAGTTCCAGCCATCTCCATTCTTGAATTGACCTCATTCTATCAAAAGGACCGCAGCTGCTCCAGCAGCAGGGAAAGGGCTCATTGTGACCCACTGTTCATTCAGGCCAACCTCTGGGACCAGTTCTGAATCCCGTGCAGCAATAGCTGGAGGGCAAACTCAAATTTCTGGAGAGTTAATAACAATAATGAAACATAAATATGTGTCTTTAGAATTCATATGTACAATGCTATTTTTATATGGCTACTTAATGACAGAAAAGCATATTGTATTAGAACTTTTTAATAGACACCCTTCATTGTAGCCAAGAAAACACTTGGATTGTCAATACTGGGCTGGAACCCAGTCACCCTGCTGTGCCCTTTGTGGCAGTGCATTTTGGGAAGGGCAATAAATCTCAGGGCCAGTGTTCTTTCTTTATACTCTTAATTTGGATGCTAATTGTGCAACACATAGAGTTGCAAATAAGGATTGGGCCACAGCGGGTGTGCTAGAAGCACAGTAAAGGACATGTTAAATGGATTTTAACCAAATAATACGTGGCAGCATTTACTCATCTCAACTTACTTAGACATTTAAAACTGGAGAAAAATTAATAAATAGACAAACTTTAATAAAACTAATGTCCTTATAGCAAAAATCCACCTAGACAATTAAATTAACTCAACTACATTCATATAAATATATGAGGTAGAAACATCCGCTCAAGGCAAAAATTCATTAATTTTCCTTAGGCTTAGTCCCTTTATTCATTAGCAGAATGAACCGCCAACTTATCCAGCATATGTTTTATCCAGCGGATGCCTTTCCAGCTGCAACCCAGTACTAGGAAACACCAATGCACTCTCACATTCACACACATACACTGCTTCCAATTTAGTTTATTCAATTCACCTATAGCGAATGTCTTTGAACAGTGGGGGAAATCAGAGCACCCGGATGATACCCACATAAACACGGGGAGAACATGCAAACTCCACAAAGAAATGCCAGATGACCCAGCCTGGACTTGAAACAGCGACCTTCTTGCTGTGAGTCGCACTGAGCCACCATGCCCCATAAGGCAGAAATTGCTGATTTGAATAGTTTGTTAGATATTGAAAGCTTTATGAAAGCTTCATGTGCAAAATAATACACCATTTAAAGAAGCTATATGAAAAAAGAAGAACATAAACAGGGCCTTCCCAACATCTTGGTTGTCAATTTACATCAGTGCACAGTGCTCTTGTGAATATGCGCAATATACTGACACTGAGGGGGGAAAAAACGGTGAATAAAGTAATTAATTTGGTTTGCACAAACATATTTTTTTATTTAATTTTTTTGTTTACAGGGTCAAATCACATTGATAAACATTACTGTAAAATGTGCCAAAATTAGCCAACAATGGCTATTTTTCATCTGTAGACCCCTTACACAATGTTAAAAAGTCCTACCTAAAATAAAATACACTACATGCATATATACACAATACATACTTACACACATACATATATACATAAAACAGATAGAATGTCAGGCGTCATGGTGGCGCAGTGGGAAGCACAATCGCCTCGCGGCAAGAAGGTCACTGATTTAAGTCCCTGCGGCGTCAGTTGGCATTTCTGTGTGGAGTTTGCATGTTCTACCCGTGTTCTACCCGAGTGTATGGGTGTTTCCCAGTGTTGGGTTGCAGCTAGAAGGGCATCCTCTGTGTAAAACATATGCTAGATAAGTTGGCGGTTCCTTCTGCTGTGGTGACCCCTGAATAATAAAGGGATTAAGCCAAAAAGAATAAATGAATGAGATCAAATGGAGCAGAAGAGGACAAGCAAGCCAAAAACAAAACAAAACAAACAAACAGTACAGGTTAAGTGTCAAGAATACAGCATGAATGTTGACAGTGCTGATTTGTCAATAAAACATTTTTTTAAATAAATCTAAAAAGAACTAGAAGTATGTGATCTTTTGATTGTTG